AACCGCTGTGCGATGTAAATCGTTGGGGCCATTGAACAAACTAGATCTTTTCGAGATACATTTGGAGGATAGTAGTGGCGGGGCGTCTTGGCCATCATTTCCCTTCGATGCTCCAGGTCATATGTTCCACTTGTGCGGAAAACACACCACGTGTGGAGTTCTATGAGAAATTGAGTGGCCCGAGACGAAGACGGAGTTCGACCAAGGCATGCCGTCGACCGTGGGAGGTCGCTCCACCGATCTGCACCGACCTCCACCAGCCACGGGAGGTCGCTCCCGTCCAATGGCTCCACCCTGGGCCGTCCTCGACGCTGGGAACGGATGCTTCCTTATAAGCAGGGGCCCAAAACGAGACCCAGGAAAAGTGCACAATCTTTAGCCTTTTGGGGGGGGAGAACAGGTCGAACACCTGGATGTTCCAGGGATCTCCGCCTCAGGAGGTAAGAAGAAGAATGGGAGTGGGCAGCTCTTCCTCTTCCTCTCAACCACTCTCAACCGGTCTTCTTCCGGTCTCCAGGAGCTCTTCCTCGACTACAAAAGCCAACGGCAGCAACTGCGCCGCCAGCTCTGGTCCGCCGAGGTCGCTGGGGAGTCGGAGCGCGCGGCGGCGCTGCAAGCGCTCTGGGACACCGGCCAGGCCCGGGGGACCGAGGCGAAGCGACGGACCCGGTGGCGGACGGTGCGAAGGGGACGGTGGGGAAGGTGGAACCCGCCTTTGGTGTGTTATTTTCCTTAAAAGGTTTCTTATTTTCGTATGTGACTTGTGCTTTTGCTCGGAGAAGTGACTCTAGAACTGGTCTCTAGAACTGGTCGTCCAAGAATCATTCAGGTCCTTTCGGAACTCTTCTGGGAGTATCTGATTTTGTTGGGAGCGTTGTCTATCTATCGGCTAGATGCTTTGTCTTCTGCATGTCCAACCTGTTCCGCGCAAGGTCCAGAGTGAGGAGGGCCTGCCGGAAGAGCTGGAGCAGCAAGCACGCTTGCTGGCCGGTCGACATCTCGTGCCTCGGGAAGAGGAGGAGGAGCAGCTGGTGGACAGATGCGTTGATGGTGGATCTTGGTGGATGGGTGGCACGCAAGGCCATCAAAATGGGGTGGTCCAATGTGGATTGAGACAAGATGATACAAGTGGTACTGGAGTGGCCCCCCCACCTGACCAAAGATTGACATGGGCCTAATAAACATCTCTGACCGGTTCCGCCGTTCCGCTGAAGTCGTTCTTTTTCATGCTCTTCCTCCGGTGCCGATGGTTTGGTGCAGGTTCTTCGTTGCCCCTTGGTCGGGGCTGGTGTGAACTCGTTCTGCTCACGGGTCGTCCATGGACTACTCAGACTCACGTCTACGTGAGTCTGTTGGCACGGAAAAATGCCCGTGAACGTCAGAACCAAGTACTTTTGGCGAACGTCGGAGATGGCTTTTGCTGAAGAGTGCTCCTCCTCCTCGTTTTTCTTGCACGGAACTGGGACATGTTTTCCCGGGCTTTGCCTTTGCAGGACCGTTGTAGGTCATGAGGAGGAGTCCAAAACCACGGTGACATCTCTGGCGGCACAAGGGGCACACGGAAGGTGCTGTGACCCAGAAATGATATGAAATGATTACTTGCTGTGGCCAAGTTTGAACTGCCTAAGTGGGAAGCATTGCGAGCTGCAAAGGAGTCTTAGCCGTTGACGATATTTGAGAGTAGATGGCACTCTAGTAGATCAGCTAACAGCCCGGCTATTTTCTGTTTTGCTTTTTGGACGAACCAGTCGGAACTTCCACGAACCATGTCATGTTCGAGCTCCTGATCGTGCCTCTTCCGGTCGCCTTTGTGGTCCAAGGTGCCGGGCACATGTCCTCCGAGCCACGCTTGGACGATCTGGACCCCCCGAGATCCATCGATGACCGTTCTGGGAGTCCAAGACTTTTTCTCAAGATTGTTTAACATGGTCCTTGGGTGAGCCCAAAAGGAACTTTCTTGACCTCCATGATCTTCAATGGGGCACGATATGGTCTTTGGACTTGTAGGGACTCTAATGTATGAGGAAAGCGGCTTCCGGACAGGAGCATTATATATGTAGCATTGGATTTTATTATATACGATTCTTTTTTGAATTCATGTCTTCTCTCTTAAACCGGGTGGCCCTCACCACAAAAAACGGAGATACTATATTGATGTCGTTATCCAATGGAAATTGGTTGGGTTAATGTTTCATTACTCAATGAAATAGATGTTAACACAGATATACAAAACATTTTTCAAGACGCAGGGGTGTATAGTTCATTTTGCTTTTATACCTCTCGCAAATGCCCTGGAGCCTTGGCTCCCACCCTCTTTTCATGAGTGATGTTCTTCCCGTCCAACGGCCAGGCTTTGTCCACCGTCGCTATGGGTATCGAGGAGTGGTCCTCTGCTGTGAGCCCTGGTGCACAGCCGCCAAAGCCTGGAAGCGGATGATGGGTTCCTTGGTCCGATTTCGGAGGCCGAAGAAGGCCACATCCTCCAGAATCCCTGTCGCCGTTTTTCTTGTTTTTCTCAGCACCCCTTGGGTCGAAGGAGGCCCCCAAGAGCTCCAGAAAGGCTGCCACAGACCGCTACCGGTAGCTGCTCGACGTTGTTTGTGGCTGGCATCAGGCGTGGCCAAGCTTCCGCGCGGCGAGCTGCAGCCCTTCTACCACTGCTTCCTGGCCTTCTGAGAGGATTGGAAAAAGGGAGAGCAAACTACAGGAGCCGTCAGGAGCTGTTGATTTCCCTGACAGTCTACTCATTGGGGTTCGCTTACGTCTTGTATAGAAAGCTATACCAGGACCCGACTCTACAGGTCACAATTGAGACCGGTCCAACAACCCTCAAGTAACAGCCAGGAGGGTGCTGGTATACTTCATTTGGTCAACGGATTATTTGCCGGTTTGGAGTTGAAGCTGATGTAACTGTTGCACATAGTCATACACCAACTCTACGACAGTCAACAAAGGGAGGGATCCAACAAGTCCTAAGTCCTTGCAGCTCCATCCAGACGAGATTGGAGACCAGCAAACAGAAATTGACATGTCAAACATATCAGAATCAATCCATGCAGGCATTCTTTTCAAACAAGCATGTGATTGATTGATATTGATTGGACATCTATGGCTTTTCTTCTCATATTTGTCTTTGCATGCCCGAAAAACTCAGCTGGAAGGAATCCATGCAGTTTTTGATGGCTTGGGTCATACCATCAGCCATCTCACTGGCTGAGGCTTGGTGGATGAGAGGGACCGTCCTGGTGGGCAGGTGACCTTTGTGGGAGAGGAGAGTGGTGACCTGGCGGCTGGGTACCGACATGCGAATCAAAAGCGCGCCCACAGCCACTGATTTCCTAGGCCACACATGTCTGGGAATAGCATGGAAGAACTGAGGTCAAGCAAAAACACAGATCAGGTTGCGACCGTTCTGGTTCAAAAAAACACCAGGCTTTTTGACCTAAAGAACGGCCCAGAAAGGCTTGATGGGACCGGGGGTTCTGGGACAACGTCCGGGACCCCGACATCGGAGGAGAATGTGGGGCCAGATGCCTTGGCATTCCCCTTGGAGCATCCCTTGGTGAAGCTGCTGTTGATTAGGCTGGTGAAGCTGGCTGCATGTCGAAGCACACATACAGAGGGTGGGGGGGTTCAGTTAAATCGGAACTTGAGGGCAGAACCGAAAGCATTTTTGGCATGATTCAACGTCAGACCCGTGAGCTCCAGGGTGAATCCGTATTACCACCGCTAGGGTGGCTTCGGGGGTGTAAAAGGTCCGCTCTAAAATCACTTGGCATGCAATCAACTGCGCCGCCACTCACCATGTCTTTGGCAAGTCTTAGGACCTTAGGCGTATCGACTCCTACACCATTCTTCTTTGTTGGCAACTTTGTGAGGATAGCGGGAACTCGATTCAACTTATACATCCAAATCCATTCGCACTTTGCGTCGCGCCCCACATTTGTGTACTCACACCAGTGAGTTGAAGACGTAGTATCGATGCGTTCGGTAGATCCACGGAACTTGCTACTCTTTCTTCAAGAAAACCAACGCCGCACTCGTTAAACAGTGATCTGGATGTGACTCCCAGCTCCCAGCTATTCGTCTGCGCTCCGTTCAGTCGGCACCTTCTGCGCCGACGCTCTTCGCTCCCCGCAGGTGCGAGGAGCTGAACTCTTATTTGCCCTCACCAGCCCTGGAGACCGCCCTGTCGGCGCAACGCAAGGGCGATCCCTTTCGCTTGCCAACGGGACTAGATTCGATGTGGGGAGACCGCAGCGGTCTGGGCGGGTCAGTTTGGGTTTCAGTTGGATTCATTTTGGGTCTGGGTTTAGTGTTTGGGATGGTGTAGGGGTGGTTGGCTATCGCAAGAGTCAAAAGTGAAAGAGGTCTGGGTCTGACGCTTGGGGAGGTGATTTCACCTGTCGACTAAGCTATTGAACCATGACTCGACCCGTGCAAAGTGGATGGGTCATCCTCCAGTCACGAAGGATCACAGCCATGACGGCACGAAGTCATTGTCACAGCAGTTTTGGAATCAATGGCCCTCAAGATCGTGTGCCTTCAGTTTTGTCCGTTGGAGAGTGTCTGAATCAGAGTGACCTGCAGGCACGGATGTAAATCCACCGGTCTTCCATTCCCTCCATCCTTCATCTAAGGAGCTTGGAAGACTAGCAGAAGACTAGCTGAAGCAAATGGATCAACAAGGGTGTGTGCTGCCAGAGCGGGGGGCTGCTGTCGGACTGTCGGACTCTCTCCACGAAAGCATAGCACTGGCACTGGAGCTACTGCTTCCCAGGAGAGAGAACCCTTTCGCCCTGTGTAGAGATGGGTCCAAAGCAAAACATCCAAACAAAACGTCATAAATGATTCGTGAGCAGGACTCTTAGATCCTCTACATTCAGGATCTGACTCAGGTGTGTTTCGGTTTCGATCTCTTGAACAACAGGGCTATCTTCACTTCCCCACAACGCCCCGCCTTCGTCTGGATGTACAAATCACCCGACTGCTGCGGTCAGGGACGCACCAGGAAGCACGAACTCGAGGCCAATCACGCATGGGCAGGGAGTGACATGGAATGGACACGAGCATTTTCTTGGGAATTCTGATATATATATATATATATATATATCCCAAGCATGTATGGCATGTGCCTACGTTGACCTCTAAAACCACCCCAACTGATTGGCAACTATGTGCGATACATGGAGTGTCATGAGTATTGTATCAGTCACAAGGACATCAACAGAATTCCAAGGACCCTTTGTTCAGGGAAGGGACTGTAACAAAAAAACTTAGAAGCTTAAGAGTATTGACCAATGTTTGACCCGTTTTCAGCAACCAAAGTTTTGTGCTCCTGAATGAGCTCTGGAGGGTGCTGAGGGACGATCGTAGAGGTTTGTTGAAGGTTTCAAGACCAAGTTGTTCTTTGACCAAAGCGAGATGGTGTACTTCTGCTTTTTGCACCAGACTCTTTGGTGGAACTCGGACCACAAGCCGCAGTATAATTCTTATCCATCCCAAAACGCCGCCGATGGAATGCTCCTGAGAAGTCTTATTCTTATTCTCTTAGTTGGCATGAGGTGGTTTCCGCTTGCTCACCGATGGCCGATGCTGCAGGCACACTCCAAGATGCCGGCACAGGTGGCTCGACGGGACCGTGGGTCTGGTGACGCTGGTGAGCTTGGAGATGTGGAAGTCGAAGCTGCACGGTTGACACCACTGGACAAGCTGAAAGGGCTGAAGAATTGCCATAGAATTTGTATGACATTGGTGATTGAGTCTGACATCGTGAATTCTCCAAGGTCCAACATTGAGTCGCTTTGAACCAGGTGTCAGCAAGAAAACACTGCCAGTTCAGCACGAAATGTTTATACAGAAAATGAGAAAAGACATCGAATGTCTATTTTTGCTCGTTGTTTTGAGAGAGTCCACAGTCTCTTGCCTTTTTGCTGTACTGTACCATCATGTTCCACGACCCAACAGCCGCCCAAAGTTATTCTGTAACTCGATGGATCTCAAACCCGAGAGGAGAATGGGCAGGGACCGGGCCCCGCACCAAGCCTCATGGTCCCACGTTGACGACCCAGACATACCCAGACGCTCACCACTCCAGTCCGACCGGTCCCGGAACGGGATTGGTTCGACCCGACACTCCTCCAGTGGCACCTGGAGCCCGATGGTGGCGAACGGTGGCGAACCGAACACCGGTGGGAGGTCAGACCGGGTCGGTCGCCCCCTTGAAGATGATGAATTCAATGGATTAGAGCCTCCAACATAGATCGGTGTGGACGAAGCCCGCGAAGCCTTCTAGATCGGTTTTCTTGGTGCATTCGATGGGAGGCCCACAACGACTCGTGGGAAGACGTGCTGAAGGACTAGTCACTAGTCCAATGGAACAGGGAGATTCTCCGACCAATTGGTTTAGGATGTTTGAGGCTTGAGGGTACTTTTCCTCTCGCAATGACTTTACGGCTACGGGTTCGACGCCCCAACATCCGGAACTTCTTCACGTTCCTCGGTTCCTCCGCCCCCTCCGGCCCACTGTGGGGTGTCCAGGTACCAGGACCATCCGCCTGGGGTGTCCTGTTTGGACTCGTTATGATGCCGATGCCCAAGTCGTAGAACAAGGGATCTCCTCAGTCCAGGACACCTCGCACGCACGGACGGACGGATGGCGCATCCATCGGCTTCTCCACACGGGTCCAGGCCAGCGAGGCCTTACGGGACTCGCAGTTGAAGGACCGGGGAGCGGGAGAGGGAGGATCCCGCACAGTGTTGGATGAGTTGCTGTGGCGCCTTGAGGGTGGTGGAGATGGAGAAGATCCGTCCTGCAACTCTTAGTTTGGATGCTTCGCAGTGTTTTCGCAGTGGGGGGGGCTTCATGAATTTCTTGAACTCGGTGGGGTACCTGGTATACAGACATTCTATTATGGTATTCTTAATCCTTTGAAACCGGACTTCACACATTGCCCCGGCGGTCGTCGAGCCCACCTTGAAAAAGCATGAACGTGCAAAGTCCTTGGCTGGTCCAACGTGGCTGGTCCTTGTGCTTGAACATCTCGAACTTTTCCATCTCGCCGGAACTCTTCTTCAACATCTCCCCATGTTGAAAAAAGATGCACCTTTGGGCAGCCTCCCACACTCTTGAGCACTACAACCCAGGCGTGTACAACCGAACCCTGCGCCGTTTCTCAAAGATCCAATGCGCAGTGCCCAGGACTTGGGCTTGCCCGCCATGCGGAACGCCGCCCTTCGGCGGAGAGTGGTTTGGGGCAAAGGGAGTGCCGCGCAAGTGCCGCGATGCGCGGAGGGAGTTTCTTTTTAACTTTTTTGAATATGATAGAAAGTCAGAAGTCGGTGACACAGTGACGCATGGTGACGCGGTGACTTGGACACTAGTCGTTTGACGTGTTGGGGGGGGACTAGTGAGTATAGCGGCGGCAAAGGCCTTGCAGATCGTCTCCCCACATTTCACATTTCCCATGGCCTCTATCTACACATGTTGGATTTTGGGGTGAAAGTCGACCTAGTCAAAGTTGTCAACTTTGGATCATATATGGTTCAGATCATGAGTATTTGTAGCAGTGGATACTTTATCCAGGCTTACTTTATCACGCACTCCAAACCTGATCTTCAAACCTAGCCATCCAGTGGGCTGCGGAGAGCGGTCATGTTTGTTTCTTCCCATTTGGCTTCCCCGCCCGCCCCGTCGTCGCTGACGCGCGAGGCACGTGGAATTCCCTTCAGCTCGGTCTGGGACACCCGTGGCCGGTGCGGCGGAGGGGTGCCCTGTGCCAGCGCTGGTTGGTCATGGAGTTACTGGTAATTGGTCGTCGTTCCTTCTGTTCATGTTCGGTCAACCAGGATGTCCCGGTTTGGAGCCAGTGCATTGGGTCGACATGGCTTTTTACACGTCTTTATCATTTTTTGCGACCCCTTGAGGGGACTGGCATCAAATGACGGACCAGTTTGGGGGTGGTTGATTTTTCAGAAAACTTTCGGGGTCCCACTCAGCTCAAAAGTCTCCTGAAATTCTGAAACGTCAACCAAAAGTAGTAAGTACTGAAAACATGGATGACACAATGAGATATAAAGTACAACTATTAACCTATTATTGACATTGTAATGACCCCTTACAACATCTTACAACTATAATATACAGTCAACAAACATCGGGGCCTGGCATCTACTTTCACCGTCCCCCCAAATCCCGCCCGACCGTCCCCCTCACGGCACGAAATTGCCACCGAGGGCTCCGTGCCGAAGCCACCGGTGAGTTGGGTGGGCTCGAAGAAGACACCCCTGTCCCAGGCGCGGCACCGCCTGTCCCAGGGGGGGTTTTCCGAGGGCACCGTGCCGTCAGAGATGGACGTCCCGACGTCCCGACTCCCGACGTGTCTGTTCTCAGACGACCGGGTCCGGTCAGATGGTCAGACGAGGTATACTTGATTTGATGTGTGGAGACCGCGGTCACAGAACTCTGAAGGCTCAAAAGGTGTGAGATGGTTGGATGATGTTGGATGGTTGGATCAATCTTACCCTTGGTGACTGGCTGAGATGGTTGGATGGGTCTATCTGGCTGTTCAAGTTCGGGTGGAAAGTCGGTGGGAAGGGGGAGCCTCGGGGATGATACCCCAGACACTCCATGGGACTGGAATAGTTACATACATTGACCCCATTCATGACCCTAATGTAGGTAACTATTCCATGCACCCAACTCTCATCGTTACTGGGAATAGGACGGCGATGACCAGCTGGATGACCAGCTGGATGGTGATGCCATGATCGGGTGACTGAAATCGGTGGTGAAATGGCCGTGTGCATTCAGAAATTCTTGAGATTGATTCCTGATTCACCAGGGATGCTGTCCTTTTTAACATGGTTTTGTCCTGGAGACTCAAGGATGTTCTCCACTCGTTTGAAGCCCAACTCCTCTCGTTAAAGGCTGAAAAAACCTTAACAGGGTGGCAGTCACTGTCTCCAACCCTCCGTCCTCCCAACGATGAGAGTTGGGTGCCAGGGCAGGCCCGATCGGCCCGGTCCCAGCTGGTTTCAACCTGCACAGGGCTGCGGGGCCCGGTCCCACTAGTCGCGGAGAAAGAGTTAATTACAAAGTACCTGAACCATTTCTTGCCGCGGTGTCCGAAGTCACTAGTGACCACTAGTGTAGTGGTAGTCTATCGATGGTGGAAGGGGTGGTCCTGGTAGAGGTCCTGTTCTACCACCACCATCAGTATCCATCACAGGGTAGGGTCATTTGCTGCAGTTCCCACGCGCATGTTGGCATATCAACCAAGCACGGACCTCACAATGATGGGCCGGACGGCTAATCTTGGATCTGATCTTGGCTGTTATAGGTAAGGGGACACACTCAAGATCTGACCCTGTCGTGGCGTATCTTGCATGTGTGTCGTGGCGTATCCAGATGAGCTCGCATGATGCACCAGATGCGTTACAGGTCTGAAGCTCAAACGGCTGAAGACATAAAGGCGAAAGTCTGAGATGCCTTGAGATGCTTCATGTGCTTTTGCAAACTCCTTGAGAGCACCAAGCCCCGGGGTGAACCAACTGCTCTCATCACAGTGAGCATGCAAGTCTAGGTTGAGTGGTGGAGAGGCAACTGTGGGATAGTTGCCTTCCTCTTGCCTTGGGTGCTTGTTTGCCGTGCTTTTCTTGGCTCGCATGATGGACGTTTAGTAAAAGGTCGGACGGCGCTGATAGAGAAAATCGCCGCTTGATGACAGTCTCAACATCTGAGAAGCCTACATTGAGAGCACTGTGTGACTGTGTTCAGATGCTTTGGATGTACTTCGAGGGCCCTCCACACCGAAGCTTGGCACACCTGTCCCTTGTCTCACCCCACGGCACAGACACATGATACTGCACCTGTTGCATTGCGAATCGCGGCTTGGTTTGGCGTATGGTTGGTGCCTGTTGGGGCCTGTTTGCCGGTCAGTTCCCAAGGCCATCCTTCGTGGAGTTCGTTAGCCATATGTGTTCGTTTCGATATCCTGAGGCGGCGGAGTCATACCAGTTGAAATCTTGGAAACACACGGGACACACATACGTATCCAATGACACAGAAATCGATTCGTCAAAGGATCCACTGGACTGGACTGGATCCACTGGACTGGGCAGCATTTGACAGTCCCGGCAGCTGGATGCTTTCCTCACTGGGCCATGTGCCTCCCGGTCTGCATGATGATTCTCAGCGTTACAGGTCTGATAGACCTCCGGTGATGAGAAAAAGGCGAAAGGCTGAAAGCAGAGGCATGCTCTTGGCACACCTGTTGACCGCTGGATACCGCAGGTCTGGCCGCGATGTCGTGGTATATATGGACAGGTGTCCATGGATTGTGATATGGTAGAAACGCCACAAATGCGCGGTCGAACAGAGGAAGAGTTGGAAAGGCAGTGGAAAGGCAGTTGAATCCATTGGCCAAAGCTTTGCCCGCATGATGCCTTGCAAGTAAAAGGTCGGAGCTTTCTCTCAGAGGAGGGATGCCATGATGACCAGCTTTCCACTGAGAGGGCCCTGACTCAGTTGACCTTTTCTGGATAAGATCCTTTGAGATGTTTGTGACAAATCGCTCTGAAGAACGAGCCCTTTGGTTCAGAACAAGCATGACAACTGCAAGACTTCAAGTATATAACTACTTCAAGACTTGAAACAAAGCTTGAAACACAGCATTTCACACCTTACCCGGTGATAGATGAAACATTATGAAACCTTGTACTGCATGTATTTGGCTTTCCATGTGGAAGCGTTGCCATTAACGGCTTCTTACACCGACCACAACGGAGACTTGTTCTTTGTTCCGCATTTCGGGCGTCAAACACCCCTTCTGCCACCCTCAGACCTTGGACCATTGGTTGGCTTCCGAACCGGCGGTCAGCACAGAGGCTCCGGGTCCGAGCTTCGGATCTTTGGATTTGAGACCAAAGATCCGAATTTCCCACTTTGGAGACTTTCGAAGATCTGGAACTTCCTGCACGGTGCACAACCACACCCCGCTAGCCACAACTGACGGAGGTTGTCCTACGAACTCAAGGCCAACAACTACACGAAGACCTGAAAACCTCAGACGACTCGTTGTCGCTCCCCTCCCACGCGTTGCTCGCGCGTTTCCCGCGCGGGCCGGGCATGTGTACCGCTATGGCGCCAATGCAGCAGCGGATGCAAGATCTGCTGGAGGAGGCTGTGGGGTGGTAGGGCTCATGTTGGGCCATCGACCGACCGACCGGCCTGCTTAGTCTTGGTCAATCCGAGGCAGAAAAAACCACCTGGAAGATCCTGGAGCCACCCAAGGTGCCTAAATACCCCGTTGTCACCCATGTTGCCAGTCCAGTTCGAGTTCGAGTTCCATTTTGGGAGTCGACCTCCGGACTCTTCTTACTGAGCACTGGCCTGTCGCTGTCGCGCAGGGACCGAGGACATGGTGAGACCGAGGACTCAATTGGACTCACTGGTCCCGGGTTGCCGTGCTGAGTTCGAGGGAGTTCGACTGATTCATCCGCCACGAACGGAAGACGAGTTCCATGGAAGTGGAAGACTAAACCTGTTTGGGGCCATGGCGGCCATGCCATCCACTTCCAACAGAACACTCGATCCGGTCCTCTCTTCGTGATGACTGGCCCGAGGGATGGGGGCCTCTCCAGGTACAGGGAGGCTTCGGCTTCGCCCGCCTTGAGGTGTGGAGCGGGACAGGTGAGGGATCGGCGACAGCGGATTGAGAGGACCAATGGCACAGACCCCCAAGGTCGGTGGTGCCATCATGGACCCCCATGGCCCATCTAGGACATCATGGGGGAAACGTGCCATCGAACCTCTGGGGATCCCCAGAACTTCTCGTGCCACAAGAAACACATCGGATCTGAGGATTCTGCAGTTGGACCGAGGGGCACAGGTGCTTTTTCGAAAAACCTGATCATCCACCTGCAACCTGCAAGCTCCGACGGATCGGCCGAAAACGCACCGGTGGCTTCGGCCATCACGCTTGGTGGGGTCGACGCTTGGGACACTTGGAACCATCGATGTGACGACGTGGGAGGCATTTAGAGCCACGGCAGGTGGCGGTCTTCGTCACCAAGGTTCACCATTTGGTTCACCTACGTACTCCATCCGATACGTGCGTGTTGGAAGGAGGATGAAATAGGAACCCCCTCTAGCAGCAATGGTTGGGGAAGAAGATTTGCAAGTTGATTGGACAAGTGCACCAGTTCAACAATACCATACAAGACCCATGTTCTTTTGTTTATGCACCGTTCTTTGGTGTCTGCAGTCCATTTGGCGCGAGCAACTCCCGTCCATGTGGTGAGCATCCTCGTCCTTCTAGGGCCGCAAAATCGTTGTTTTGAGCACTACGAACATCACGAGCAGCTCTCACAACGACATTGAAGATATGGTTGTTTGATGTTGTTTGCATTTGTTTGCTCCTGTGCGGAAGATGTTTGGGAAATGAACACAAGATTGTAAGTCATGTTGACTCTTTTCCAGAACATCTGGATTTGGTCCTTTCAGCCTTAAGGTGTCTGACGTTTGTCACAGGGCACTCCGGGTCACTGTGTCCGGATTTTCGGGGTCTGCCAGGAGCTTGTGAAGCGGCCGGCAGAGACCGGCAGCCACGCTCCCAAAGAGGGACACGACGGGGCGGACCTTTCCGTTCGAACTTCCTCTGGCAGTGGCACCAAGGGGCCCCCCAAAACAGTATGTTTTGGGGGGGTGGGTTGTACAATGTGTACAATGGGTGGATGTGGGGGGTTGTGAGGCAGGATGATGGGTGGATGTGTCATTTTTTGGGTGGGTGGGTTGTGAGGCAGGATGAGGTACAACCGGCCAGCACAATCGGTCAGACTTTTTAGAGCTGCAGAGACTCCCGAGTTGCCGCAGTCGCTGCTGTGTCGTTGGTCCATGATTCTATGCTGCCCAGAATTTTTCCTGTGTCGTTGGTACAAGCAAAATGACGGTGAAGCTTCAACGGGTACAGTCAGTTGGCTGGCCAATCTAATGCAAGGTTTGACAGTTCCTGAATTCCTTGGCTCTAGAAATGACTATGGTAATATCATCCTTAATCCTTAAATGCCTTAAGCACCTATATTAGCCTATAAGAAGAGACCATTCCCATAGATATGGCCATTCTCCTTTAAAGCGGGCGCCTTTCGTGTCTTGCTGAACAGCTCATTGGGTGGCTCTTCTTCAACCAGAGTGGCGGAGCCGCGCATGACGACTCAGAGGGTCAGACTCAGACACTCCATGTATGGCATTGATACCCCACATGGGGGGTGGTTTTCAGTGTCACTCCGGAAACCAC